GCACCATATAGTGCGTGAGCAGTGTACTGTTTTTGAGTTGGAGGGGGGTGGGGAAGATTCTCACTATGATGTGTCCATCTATGTCTTTTTATTTGATAATAATAATTATGATCATAGTAATAAACAGTGTTTGCATAGCACAATCCACACACAACAGCGAGCTCTATTTTGCTTTACAATTTATATCATTACCTCAGAGACCCTCATATCCATAAAGTATGGTTTTTCTAATTGATATGTCTGTCTGTTTCTTCAGGTGTCAGAATTCAAAGATCAACTTTTCCACGCGGCCGGCATCTCCCCAGCCCGGGTCATGGAGTTTGCTTGTGGTGAGGCTCGCTGTTTGTTTTTTTGTTTTTACTTTTTTAGGTTTTTTGGGGTGTTTTTTTTGTTGTTGTTGTCATGGACTGACATGGTTTCAGTGTTTGGTTTGCTAAAGGATAGTGAGTGGGTGGAGTGTGCCAATAGTGGGTCCAACTTCTTTTCTTTCTCTCTGGTGTTTCCGTCTTTATGGGTGTTTGGAGGATGCCATTTATAGGTCCTACTTTTCGCCCCTTCTGCTGTTTATATCTGTGTGTGTGGTTGGAGGGCGCCACGGGTAAGTCCTATTTCTTTTCTTTCCCTCTTTGTTTCTGTCTGTGTGTGTGGGTGATTGGAAGGTGCCACTGGTGGGTCCTACTTTTTTTCTTCCCCTCTGTTGTTTTTCTGTCTGGCTACCTTGCTTTTTCTCCCTTGCATTTAATGGTAGTTCTTGAGTCAATGTGTTTCTCTTTTCTCAATCAAACTGTCGTAGTGGGTGGTTGGCAGGTGCTCTGGTGTGGTTTGCTCCTTCTTTCCTATCAAACATCTATCGTCTTAATCTCTCCTATTTTTTTTGTGTATTTGTTACTCTTTTGTAACACCTCTAATCTTCAGCACTTACAGGGTGATCCCAAAAAAAACTTTACAACTTGTTTTATAAATATCTTCCTCCTTACTGAAGTTTTGTGTTTCAGATTTGAACATAACGTTTGGAAGCCAAAAGGAATTTGTCTGATATGTATTTTAGATAAGTCCATTGAATGGTTTTGCTCTATATAGCGCTTTAAAAAAAGAACCCATTTTCAACCTTGTTGCCATTTTCATAGCATGATGCACCAGTTCGCATAAGGCATACCACTAAAAGTTGCAACAATCGCGCCATATTGCAAGCTACAGCAGTCTAACAAGTCAACAGAAGTCTGCAGATATTGTTTTTCCCAAATTTTGTTTGCCTGCTTAGATCACGGTTACGTTTAGTAAAGAGCAGAGAGTTATTTTGTATTGAACATTGCCTCTCCACAAACTCACCATCCCTGACATTTCGTAAGTTCTGCGCACGGCATGGAGAGAATGCTTAGGTTCCCTCAAGACCTTTGGCATCATGAGTAGAGAAGTTCCGTCAGTTTGGATCTATAGCTAATCAGAACTAAAAGGTTCTTTAAAAAATTACCCCTTCAGGTCGAACACGCACCATGCGCAGCCATTTAAACGTCACCAGAGTGCAGATTTCAGTAGCCGAGTTCCATGAGACCTCTGTCCGTGGATGATCTGCAGCTAGGACTTTCCTACACATCAACAGTCTGCATTCTCATGGCAGATCTTAACCTACGACTATACCATAATGTTCATCTTCGCTAGGCCGAGATGACATGGATCAGAGCATGGCAATGTGTTCATGATTCCTCAATTGTCTTGTAAAGAGGGATCATTTCCTCGATGGCATTTATTGGTTTAGTGCAAAGCCCATTTTCACCCTGCGGGATATGTTAACTCCAAAAATGTTGTCTATTTGACACCCCACTCTATTATCTCTAGAAGCCACTTTTAGTGTATGTGGCTTTAAAAACTCATGGTTTAGCAGGTCCTTGTGTTAGGGCGCCACTGAACATTTCGAACGACGCGTTAAAAATGAGGGAATGTGGAGCACTGCTTCTAGGAATTTCAGAATGAAATCATTAGGTTTTTTAAATTCTGTAAAAGAAATTAAATATTGTTTAAATGTCACAGGGATGGAAAATAAATGTCAAAGAGAAAATAAAGAAAAAGGTAAACTAATCTTTTCACGACTTCCTTTACAAGATTTTTAAACATTGCTGAACTTTGCGTTTTTTGGTGCTTTTTCCTTTTAGCCGTTTCCATTTTCAAAACATGTTTCTTCTCCGTGGATTTTATATCAAACAAATTCCTTTTGAATGAATTATGTCTGTTCGAAATTACAGCATTCTAGAACAATTTTTGCGCAAGATGTTCAGAAAAAAAGTTGTTAATTTTTTTTTGGATCACCCTGTATATGACCTTATTGTGTTGAAAGTGCCATAAAGCTCTTACGTTTTTTGTTTTTTGTTGGTTTTTTTCTTCTGGGGGGGGGGGGGGGGGGGGGGGGGGGGGGCCCCCCCCTGTGAATTGTGAATTGTTGGAGGGGGAAAGAGAACCATGCAGTCTGTTAGCAATGTATCATACTGTTGTCTATGCAGACAAACAAACAAATCTTTCGTATCAAACATTTATTGTCATTATCCCTCCTTCATTTTTTGTGTTTTGTTACTCTCTAGTAACACCTCTAATGTTCGGCACTTTTATGACCCACCCCCCGGGGCAGTGCTACTGACTGAAGTGTCTTTAGCCCATTTCCAAAGGGTGGCATTGACATGTTCTTATGCACAGTAAAATTGTAAATGGGCTGATTCCTCAATGTCATGCTCATAACTGTGCCTGAACTGCAGCTTTTTCTTTCCTAATCCTTACTATCATCATTTTTCCTCTACTTCATTTGTATGTTTGTCACACACTTGTGACCTACTATTTCCAGGGTGCCTTGATAGTTAAAGAAAACTTTGTGCTGTTTAAGCTAGAGAGGTGAGCAGAGTAAGCTTAATTCCCTGTATGGACTTCACTGTTGACATCCACCCCTTGGCGCTTATGTAACCGTATGCAGTTGCGAGCTTCGTAACAATTCTACTAAAAAAAACTTTTATGACCTAACTGTGTTGCAAGTGCCATAAAATTTTTACTGAAACTAAACTAAACTGTACCTTCTGTCCAATGTCCCCAGGCCATGTCGTCCCCGGCAGTCAGTTACTCCCCATGGCAGTGGCCCGAGGACCCAGCGGTCAGACGCTGGACTTGACCTACCAGAACCGGGACAAGCCGGCCACAGTGAGTAACTTATGTCTTTAAGCCCTGAGTTTTTCCCACTGTTTCCTGTAGTTTTTTTCTATAGTAACCTAAACCTAGTGCATTATGTCTCATTATAACCCCAAAAGCTTGCCTCCAACTTCTAAATAGCGAAAACAAAGGCTTAGTCATTTCAAAAAAAAAAAAACTTGGTTCGGGAATAGCTCTGAAAAACAAGCAAAAACAAGCACTAAATGAAGAAACGAAACAGTTGTCACTAGTATCGGACGCTCCCAGCGTTCGATGGGGAACAGGGTTATTACCCAGTGCTTCCACTCTTCCGTATTTTTACGGAAATCCGTACTTTCTGCCAGTTCCGTACTTGTTCCTCCATCATTATCAACTCCCTCCGTAAAACAAACTGCGACAGTGCAGGACTGCCGAAATTCCGTACCCGCCTTCGTATCGTCTTGTATAAGTTACGGATATTTACGGTAATTATCTCGGCAACAAGTTAACATTATAGAAACCTGCCAAATTGCGCATTTCCTGCAATCGGACATTATACCGCTATGTCCCAGTCCCATGCATTCATTGCGTGTTCGTCGGCAGTACTTTTTTTTACCTGCAGATGGATCAAAATCTGGCGAACCTTTTGGGCCAACTTTCTCCTTTCTGTCATTCACTCATTCCTTCTGTCTATCTTCGGATTGTTGCCGCGGCTGGAAAATCTGCGCGTTGATCAAGACTGATTTTGATCTTAGACCGAAAATTACTGTCAGAAAGGAACTTTTCCCCAAAATTTTATCTAGATCTAGAGAAATTATCAATGCGAAGATTCTACGGCACGTGAACGCAATATAATAAGGGCCGCGATGAAAGAAATATATGCTTATATGGGTGTGCCCACTACGGATGGGATCAGCCGATTGCGCTGATCGCCCGACTTGGTCGAACAACCGTGTTTGCATTGAAACTGAAAACAAACACGTTTGTTTTTGAGGCGATCGAGGCGGGCAATCGGCCGATCCCGTCCATAGTGAGCACCACGTATAAAATCAAGAATAATTCGAAGTGGTGTTCCGAGGTTGTGACAGGCGACTTTCATACATGAAAATTTCGAAAAAACGTGGGTATACGCTGCGCAACCGTATTTTGCAGGTACATCTATTCATTATTCCCAGGTTTGCCTACTGTCAATGGTGCGACTACAAATTAATTGAATTATAGTAGCAATGAAAGGGGAACCTGCTCTTAAACATTTCCAGCATTGGAAAGATATGCTGGTGATGAAGTCAAACAAGACAAAATGTTGGTGAAAAAATAAATATTATGGGCTGTAGGAAATATCTTCAAACAGGCTCCCAAATGCCATTTTCTACCCTCTAAAAGCACTAAATTTCAATTTCTTCGGGGGCTCCGCCCCCTGCACCCCCACCGGGACGCTGTCCCTGGACCCTGCTGGGGGCCTGTGCGGCCCCCAGACCCCCTGCAGAATTTTCCTTACTTTTCAGCTTCTGCTGGTGGAAGCACTGATTACCGCTGGACACTCCCAGGGCCCTTGGGGATAAATAATAATAATGATAATGGTAATTATTGACTGGATCCGTAATCGTGAGATTGCGCATTAGGATTAGGGGGTTCGAGCCTCAGCTCGGTCCGACGTTGTGTCCTTGGGAAAGGCACTTTACACAAATTTCCCATTTGGCTCGGTCCTTTCAGAGACGGATGTCAAACTCAGAGGTCCCCCTTCTTAAATAACCTAATAGTGTTGGGGACGTTAAACCATTACCGTTTCATCATTTTAAAATGATAATTATGATGGTGATGATAATAATCATTATTATAATATTAATAATCAGTAGCAAAGCGCCTATATAATCAAATAATCACTGGTTACCTTTCATAATTTGGAAAAATAGTCATCATCAAATACACCAATAGACGCATGCCTCATAAATTTTAATAATTTAAATTTGAGGCATGTGCAGCACACTGAAAACATCAAAATACCCTGTTCACCCCTTCTGGGCCACTTTTATATGCAGTCACAAGCATTAACTATCTAAGCTAACAATTGAATTGGTGGAGTCTACCTCAGAACGGTGAGGAGGGATAGCTTCTTATAGTATAGTGGCTGCTGCAAGCGTTTGTTTTGAGGGTTTTTCCTCGACTTTTCACCCTTCTTCAATGCTGCACGTTTAGTTTTACGGAAAAGAAAGTGAGACTCTGCTAAACCTCTTTTACGAACTTTGCATTGGCTTCCTGTTTAGAAAAGGATTGTGTACAAGTTGGCCACCCTATGTCACAAATGTTTGAATGATAATGCACCATCATATTTATCAAATCTGTTAAGACTGTACATTCCAACTTGCAGTTTACGGTCATCAGCT